GCAAGTATTTTGTGATGTTCAAGGTAGTAATTATATGCTGCTACAAGATGTTTTTAACTTTTTGGTCTGATCATTAAAATGTTTTCGAAGTTCGTTGATCTGAGGTTGACTTTAAGATCGAATTATTGTCATAGATTACTTTATTAAGTTTATAGACTTTCTTTGTAAATGAAATACATACGGTATTGTATTTCAGATACCCCCACTCTTTTGTCTACCCGGAACAAATTCTAAATGCAACGTTTAACAAGTAAAGTGTCAATCAGCTTCAGAATCATTGAAATTAAAGCAGAAGATCATTATAAACTAATCAATTGTCAAAACTTATAAAGTTCCTAGCTAGATCAATAGATTAGACATTTAACAATACTATGTCTTAAATCAAGGATCTAATAATCTATAAGACTAATCTTTACCAAAAAAATCACCACAAACCTCTCCAAAAAACACGAGAAGCTCCAAAAAATAACAAGAGAAACCCCAAACTCACCAATATTATTCGTCGAAGCAAAATTCAGCTTGATGCTCTTGTGAGAAATGCTGGCTTATACATTTTCTATGAGAACTTACTTCAACTATCCATTGTATGCCTTTTTTTACATGCCTTACCTTACCTTTATGTCTCGAAGTATAAAAGTGAATGTAGAATTAGGTGTTTCTTTAGTTTGATTTGAACTGTTGGATAGTGCATATAAATATAGTATTAATAAGTAGCCTTAGCTGATTTTTTTTTAATTTAGCAAATATGTTGAAATATTCGGTTAGTTGCAAGTTACATTGAATAATTATAAGTGTGTCTCATTTCATTTCATTTCTTTATAAACATTTAAATCGTTGATCCGGATATATAAATTATCAAGAAGTAGAGTGAAGTTTATTTTTGCATTGCTGAATTTCCTAGAAAGAAATATGCAAATTAATTAACAGACAAAAAAGAAACTGTCAAAAGTCAGATGAACTTACAAGTGACAACTAAAGGATATAATATTGAGGAGTGCTGTCTTAGGATATAAAAATTATAATCTCAAAGATACTAAGACATGTAGATCTATAAAAAATGATTGAATTATGCAACTTAAAAAACCAACGCCTACTTTCTTTTTCTTTTTTATTACAATATAAAATAGAATTCAAACTATGATAAAACTTAGTTCAAGTCTTAATTTCAATCGATTAATTATTATGCAAATTTCCTGCAACACAAAGAGGAAATCAGACAAAAAAATTGTCAAATAAGTTCGACGCATGATCATTGAACTTAATCTTGAAGATATAGTTTAGGAAATAATCCGATAAAAGTAAAAGCCAAGGTTTTTGTGCAATTAAAATTGGTTTACGGGATTTTGCAAGAAAATTGAGCACTTGGCAATAAATTGTGCCAATATGGTTATTTCTTAATAGCGGAAACTTATTAAAAGCTCATGGCATGCTTGTTTGGATTTGAAGAATTTTAATTGAGGAACAGTTGTGAAATGCAGTAAAGACATTTTGATATCTAGAGTATATTCTAGCATCATTGTGGGAGCAATCTCAAGTAACCAAAAGGTAGATCAACGTATTCCATGAGAATCTTCCATGGATGAAACATATGTATTATCCATATATTATTTTGTATAATATTTTTTGGATAAAAACACGTGCTAAATTCCACGTGTTCTTTTGTATTTTTCTTTTATTTGTGTAAATTTTTGTAAAAGTATTAGTGTGTACTTAATTAAAGTACACTAACACTATGAAAAAGAACAAAAGGACTTAATTTAATTTAATCGCATACTGATGAACGCCTAAAACTCGCACTCAAAACTGAGGAAGATAAATAATTATTTAAAAACCCCATTTAAATTTAAAGAGAACTTTTAATTATGATTTCTGCGAGCTCTTGTGAAGTATATGGTAAATGCCAAATTTAGAACAAATATTATTTTCCTGCAAAAAAAGTATTTTTTTTGATGATTTTTCATAGGATTTGAACTTAAGCGGGCTCGGGTTATACTTCGATGGAATACTTTTATTACATGTTTGTAAAACACACATTTTACATATAATAAATAATGATACATTTGATCTTCCATCGACGTCAAAGGAAGATTATATGGAACATTTTGGTTACTTGGGTATCGATCACCGGCCTTAGATTTCTTTCCCTCCTAAAACGTTAGACTTCTTCCATTTAAATTAAATAATTCAATCAATAAAGACTGCCAATAACTCCCCAAGAAACACAGATACACCAAATAATGGAATTTTAAATTTCATCAGTTGTGCCAATAAACTCTAAATACAGCTTTCGATTGAGCTTTCACAAGCTACATTTAGTCCAATTAAATTAAAAATAATTGGAAGTTACAAAACCCGACTAGAATCAATCAGATAGAAAAATTTCCGTGGCAACAGAATCAGAACCAGACAAGATAATGCGATTAAGCAATAAATTAAGGAAGTGAAAGTTATAAATTTTCATGCGATTAATATTTGTTCATACATATATCAACTATGCGAAAATATTCTAACACAAAGGCTAGCCGTCCTTGACCAAAATCGTGAACGAATATTTATATAAAAATTGTACTATGGTAATATACGAAATGGCATAAAGAATTTAACCATAAAGTGATTTGGCCTGTAGAAAATAATTTACTATGAATATGAGGCTATTGGCAATTGTTGCAATATAAAACTTACTATAGGTAAATTTCAAACTTACTTGGGATGAATTAACATTAAAGACATGCGGAATAAAAACATCTCAATCGTCATGACTTCAAAGAAAACAGACATAAATTCAAATGATGCAATACAGACGATCAAATTAAAAAAAAAGTTCATGTCGTGTGTAAAGGTCGTGAAATGGCTTGCTTGCTTTTGTGATACAATTACCATCAAATTTCGTACTTTACTATTGTGCATGAGACATAAACTCAAACTGTATAACAGGAGAAGAAAAAAATTAACAGTTTAAGATCATTATTAATTTGTTGGCATTATGGCGTGTAAACATGGCGCCTTATTAAGCTGAGACATATTTCTACTCTTTTTTCAAGTTTATTTCCACATATCTTAAGTGCATTATTTCGCTATCGCTACTGCTAAAGTCTGTGCTGGCCTGTAGAATATTGCATAATCACTCCTATGCATTTTGATGAAGTGAATAAGAGGCACTCAATAAGCTTTAGCTATTTCTTTAAATGCTGCCTTGAAGTTATACTGTGAAATTTTTCAATAAATGTTGATTTCTCAGCATTTGATTGACTTCAATAATGCTAATGCTTCACAAAGCTTTGTTATTGACTTTCTACTGATTTGAGACCATCTATCTACCAAGAAGCTTACAAATCTCTATTTACTTTCAGTTAATCGTTTTATGCTTAGGAGTCTGTCTAGCTCAAGATTATGATGAATATCGACCAGAACCTAGAAGTATAAGCAATGCTAATCGATTCCAATTTCAACAAGAAGCTAAATCAACGACAACGGAAGCTCCTGTAGCAATTTTAAAACAAATTAATAAACATAATGAGGGTAAGTTCAATGTCAAGTGACTTGAAAATTATCATTAATCATTACCATTTGTGCCTAGATGGAAGTTACACTTATGGATATGAAGCAGCTGATGGAAGTTTTAAAATTGAAACAAAAACAGCAAATGGGGAAGTTAAAGGGAAATACGGTTATTTCGATGGTGAGCGTGTTCGTGTAGTTGAGTACGGCGCAAATCGTCATGGATTTCAACCTTCTGGCGAGGGAATCACTGTAAGTTCCTTATTATCCAAAAGTTTGAAAATGAAATAATTTACACGAGTTTACAGGTTCCACCACCCACATTGGTTCAAGAAAGTGAAGAAGAATATGAACAGCCAAGACGTCCAGTCGCACAAAAACCAAAAGTAATTACAATAAATTATAAAAATAAAATCAAAAGACTCACTTATTTAATAATTTCACAAAGCAGCAACAACAACAGCCTCAATATCGTCCACAACAAAATTATGCTCAAGCTCCACAAAATAGACCACAGGCTCAACAATTTTACGATTATGAGGATGAAGTCGTTGCAACAACAGCAAAGCCCGTTCAGGCACCTCGCCCAAAATTCCAACAGCCTCAATATTCTGCTGCTCCAGTGCCGCCTCGCCCACAATTCGCAAATGCTTTACCGGTTGACGTTGTCTATGCCGATGCTAAACCTTCAAAATCATTCAAGCAACAGCAGTCACAATTTGATTCATTCGAAAATCGTCAACCAGCTCAATTTCCTCAACAAGAATTCAATCCAGCACCCCCACAAGCGCCACAACAACAACAACAACAACAACAAAATTATAATATAAATCGACCAGCTGATTTTCCACTTTTTACACCAGTAAACTCACGTGCTGATGTCTTTAAGAAGGCACACAAAGTAAGATCAATTTATAAAATATCTCGCAAACGTGTAAAGCCAAAAGGCTTTAGGAAAAGAATAATATCTAGTAAACGAAAGAAGAAGAATGTCTATTTTGTCGTCCGCAAGAAGCGACGATACTATTATTAATTAATAGCCCAATTTCACTTATGCCAACCATGATTTCATGCTCAATTGATGCCAAAAAAACTTGTTAATTTTAAAATAATTTCAAAATTTATAAAAATTTTATTGCATTTACAGCCTAACCCACCCCGTCCACAACCAGCTTATACTGAAGCTTTTGCACCTGAACCTTCATATCAGCCACAATATAATCCTGCACCACAACAAGCTCCCCAGCAACCCCAAAGACCCTCATATGCACCAAAACCACAAAATCGTGGTACTAGCATTTTAGATCAACTTCAAATAGACTATGCACTTCCAAAAGGAGGTTCAGCAGCATTGCATGATATTTCATTCGGATATTCATTGCAATGAGTGTCAAACTTTATTTACTGATGATCTTTAACTCCTTTCTGAAGTAAAAAATACTCTAATTTATTCAAGAAATAAATGTTCAAAAGATTTATTTTCAAAACATAAAGGAAATGGTGTCTTAATAGCTTTAATTTCAGGAATATCATAAAAAAAGTAATTTTTATTAGAATATATAATTTATTCGCCTTGAGCAGCCGGCTGCACAAAGTTGCCGTCATCCACAAATTCTTCACCTGCTCGATTCTCATTGTTTAGAACTTCATCTGCTTCATTTCTCTGTGAAACTTCAATAACTTCAATATTATTTGATGCATCCAGATTATGATTCTCGATTAGTGGATCTGCTGTGGCTTCAGCAAGGTTCGTGACTGATTTCGATTTGACACATTGAAAATCGACATGACGACTTTTTGCTTCTTCCTTTTCCCAACTCATGTGAATGAATGGTCTTTGGACATAATTGTAAATCACTTCAGCTTTCCCGTCTGGACGTTTTTTGATCTTTTCCTTGTATGTTGGCCATCCTTCAATTCCTAAGCGAATCTTCTTCAATCCACGATCTTTTAAGACTAATTTTGCAACTTCTCTGTTTTCAATATATTTAAAGAATCTATACATTGCATTGCTTGTAACTGCCTGGCTATATTCCTCGCCCATCATCTGTGTAGTTGGTGGATAGTCAGTATCCCATTCTATAAAATCATCTTCTAATAATACAACTATGTGACATTCCCGGTCTCCTCGTTGAGCGCTATTAACCATTAATGGCATTAGTAATTCCTCAAGAAATGCTTCAAATTGTAATCTAGCGCCTTCATTAGATAGTTCATGCAACAAGCCTCTCAAATTTTGACATCTAATTGTTTGTGCATCAAAAGGAACCATCAAATAGTCACAAGCTTCTCTTAATTCTTGCACAGACACACCACTTGGACATTTAATATATCCACATTTATAATAGTCTAGGATTGCTCGGAATACAGTCGATGAAAGTCCGTCAGCAACCTCATATTCACCTCTATCATTTGGAACTTGCCATTCAATTCCAGATGAGAACATTCTTCCTAACAACGAGTTTGGATGTTGAATTAAAAGACTTGGATCAATTATAAATCGTGTATCATCAACTAGTAATGTAATGCGTTCCTGATTATTGCCATCTTGTGAGTTTCCTGCTATATTCAGCTTTGCTAAATTCAACGATGGAATTGTCTGAATTTTTGTTAAATTTGTTCTCGTTTTAGCATTAATTTGTTTCCGAAATATCCGTCGTCTATCTTCAAAATTAGTATGTTCATCACTGCTGCTTGATTCCTCAAGATCTGGCGAGAAATTTCTATAACTTTTCATGATTTCTGTATTTCAATTATTTTCCTTTTCTACACTTTATAACTGCATTAAGCATGTAGCACTGACTTGAGCCAATAGAAAGATTACATTAAATGTTATTTAAAAGATGATAAAAGCAAGTAAAACTAGTTAAATTAATATTTTTCTTTAAAATTTAATTTTTGCAAATAACTCTGTCTTGTTTACTTTTATAAAAATTTGTAAACAAACTTCAGTAAGCTCTTTAGAGCCATTTTTTGCACTGAAGCATTTATTTGACATATAAAGATTAGAATTCTAAATAATTTAAGCATAAACAGAACACGTGTCATTGACTTTTTAAGTCATAATTTAATGAAATTAAAGAAAAATTGATAAAAAATAACGGTTATTTGAAATTTAAACAAAGTGAGTTCAGTGACTTCTGAAAAATTAATTCTACTAAACGTACTCTAAACAGCGTCTATTTTCTGCAATTTGTGAAAATTTAAAAACATTTAATTAACTAGTTTAAGTCCATAATTAAAGCATATATTTTGGTTCATTTGATGTAGAAGCATCAATAAAGGATGAACGCGTTTTTAGAGTTCATCGAAATTGATAACTTTAAGAGTTATAAAGGAAAAGTCATTATTGGTCCATTAAAAAAGTTTACAGCAGTAATTGGACCAAATGGAAGCGGTAAGAAGCATTAATTAAACTATAATTCAATTGATCTTAATATATTTTTATTATTTAAGGCAAATCGAACTTTATGGATGCCATTTCATTTGTTATGGGAGAAAAAACAACATCACTTCGTGTCAGAAAACTAGGAGATTTAATTCATGGAGCATCCATTGGACGTCCAATATCAAGACATGCATCTGTAACTGCTAAATTTAAGTTAACTGATGGAACTGACGTTAGTTTTTGTCGTACAGTCACTGGATCCGGTTCAGATCATCGAATTAATGGCTCGAGTGTTACTAGTTCCGTTTATGCTACAGAATTAGAGAAATTGGGCATTAATGTCAAGGCAAAAAACTTTTTGGTCTTTCAAGGTGCCGTCGAAAATATCGCAATGAAAAATGCAAAAGAACGTACTCAACTATTTGAAGAAATTAGTGGATCTGGATTGCTTAAAGATGAATATAACTCACTAAAGCAGGAGATGATGAGTGCTGAGGAAGAAACACAATTTACCTATCAGAAAAAGAAGGGCGTTGCTGCTGAACGAAAAGAAGCAAAATTAGAAAAGCAAGAAGCCGAAAGATATGCTCGTTTGCGTGATGAATATACAGAAAAACAAGTTGTATTCCATTTATATAAGTTATACCATAATGAAAAGGACATACAGCGATATAATGATGACCATAAATCAAAGCAACAAGAATCCAAGAAACTGGAAGATAAGAAAAGTCGTGCAGATGAAGTGTTGCGTGACAAAAAGAAGGAAGGTGGAAAGATTGCACGAGATTTAGCTAAAATTGAACAGGATATTCGAGAAGCTGAAAGTGATATGAATAAGAAACATCCATTGTACATTAAAGCAAAGGAAAAAGTCGCACATACTCAAAAGAAACTTGATGGAGCTCTAAAAACTCTCGAACAAGCTCGAAAAGCAGACGAAGCACATCAATCAGACATTAAAAAACTCGACGACGAATTAAACATAATTGTTGATAAGAAGAAGAATTTTGAGCAAGAAATTGCACTAGATTCAAAGAAACGAGGCAGCAATATTCATTTGGAACAGGATTTCCTCAAAGAATATGACCGTTTGAAGCAACAAGCCGATCTCAAATCAGCCAAGTATCTCGCAAAATTAGACAGCATTAATCGAGAGCAAAAATCTGAACAAGATTTGCTCGACTCTGAAGTCAATAAAAAGTCACAGCTTGAAGAGACATTCAAAAAGTACAGCAGTGAAAAGGAGGAAGCAGTAAAGAGAAAAGAGAAATTAATAGAACATATTAAGTCAAGTGAAGCTCAATTACACGAACAGATGAGAAATAAGGAAGAATTGAGTAATGATGTTGGATGTTCTCGTGAGCGTCAATTAGAATTACAACGTGAAATTCAGGATGTCAATGATCAACTTGGAGATGCCAAGAATGATAAACACGAAGATGCTCGCCGAAAAAAGAAGCAAGAAGTCGTTGAAATGTTTAAACGTGAGATTCCTGGCGTGTATGATCGAATGATTAACATGTGTCAGCCTACAAATAAGAGATATAATGTGGCTGTTACTAAGGTTTTGGGAAAATATATGGAAGCCATTATCGTCGATACCGAAAAGACAGCACGAAAATGTATTCAAATGCTAAAAGATCAAAAATTGGAAGTTGAAACTTTTCTACCTCTTGATTATTTACAAGCTAAGCCATTAAAAGAACGACTTAGGTAAGAAATAACTGTTAAATTTAATTTGAAAATACAAAACATTTGTATGGTTTTGAAGCACTCAAGTTTAAAATTCAAAACCATACAATTGTTTTAAAATTCCCAAAACCATACAAATGTTTCAAAACTCATTTGAATTTTAAAAAACCGCTACCAATTCATTAAATCTTATTTCCATTTGCAGAACAATTCAAAGCCCAAAAGGCGTTCATTTAATTTATGATGTTCTCCGATTCGACCCACCAGACATAGAACGAGCTGTTTTGTTTGCAACAAACAATGCATTAGTTTGTGAGACGCCAGAAGATGCTATGAAAGTAGCATATGAGATGGATCGTAGTCGATATGATGCACTTGCTTTGGATGGAACGTTCTATCAAAAATCTGGTATTATTTCTGGTGGTTCTCATGATTTGGCAAGAAAAGCTAAACGATGGGACGAGAAACATATGAATACATTAAAGTTACAGAAGGAAAAGTTGAATGAGGAACTAAAGGATGTGACGAAGAAGACACGAAAACAAAGTGAATTAACAACAATTGAATCTCAAATTAAAGGTATTGAGAACCGTCTTAAATATAGTAAAAATGATTTGTCGACAAGTGACAAAACAATTCGTGATTATGATCGTTGGATTAATGATCTTCAAAAAGAGCTTGACCTTATTGGACCAAATATCAGCGAAATTGAACGTCGAATGATGAATCGTGATGCCAAAATTCAGGAAATTAAAGGAAAAATGAATACTGTCGAGGACGAGTATTTTAAGAGTTTCTGTAAGAAAATTGGCGTTGCCAATATTCGTCAATATGAGGATCGTGAATTAGTCTTGCAGCAAGAACGTGACAAGAAACTTGCTGAATTCGAACAACAAATTGATCGAATAAATACAAATTTAGATTTTGAGCGTAGTAAAGATACATCCAAGAATGTACAGCGATGGGAACGAACAGTACAAGATGACGAAGATTCATTGGAATCGCTTAAACAAGCTGAAAAGCGTCATCGAGATGAGATTGATAAGGATAAAGAGAAAATTGAAACTTTAAAGTTAGAGAAACAAAATAAAAAGAAGCTTGTCGATGAAATGGAAGAAGATACATCTAAAGCACGACGTGATGTCGCTTCCTTAGCAAAGGACATAGCCTCACTATCCCATCAAATTCAGTCCATTGAAAATAAAATTGATACAAAACGGAATGAAAGATTAAATATTCTACGTCAATGTAAAATGGATGACATTCAAATACCAATGGTCGGTAAAGGAAGTCTAGATGATTTTCTTACAGATCAAGACACATCAGATCCATCAACATCGAGTAACATTCAGTCGAAAATTAATGACATACAAGTTGATTATCGGCTATTAACGAGAAATTTGAAAGATATTGATGAGCCTGATCAGGTTAAAAAACAAGGTGATTCACTAAATAAGGAACTACAGCAGAAACTCGATACAATTGAGAAGATTCAAACGCCAAACTTAAAGGCAATGCAGAAACTCGATGCAGTCACGGAGAAAATTCAAACGACAAATGAGGAATTTGAGAATGCAAAACGAAAAGCTAAAAAAGCCAAGGCATCATTTGAAAAAGTCAAGAATGAGCGAATTAGTCGATTTAATAAATGTCTAAATCACATTTCGGAAGCAATTGATGGAATTTATAAAGCATTATCGAGAAATGATGCTGCACAAGCATTTTTAAATCCTGACAATCCAGAAGAGTCTTATATTGACGGTATTAATTACAATTGTGTAGCACCTGGCAAGCGTTTTCAGCCAATGAGTAATCTTAGTGGTGGTGAAAAAACAATTGCTGCACTTGCTCTACTTTTTGCTATCCACAGCTATCATCCATCACCATTTTTCGTGCTTGACGAGATTGATGCTGCACTTGATAACACAAACATTGGAAAAGTCGCTAAATATATCAGAGAACAGCAAGACTTGCAGACAATTGTAATTTCATTGAAAGAAGAATTTTATGGACATGCTGACATTTTGATTGGAATTACACCACAACCGTCAGATTGCTTAGTGTCTCGTGCATATTTATATGATTTAACTAATTTTGAGAGTAATGATTAGATGGATATCCCTAATAACAACAACAATATTAAGTAATTGATTTTTTTTTATTAAAATTATTATTTAAATTTAAATGTCTACAAATAAATTTTAGAAAAGCTGTATTTATAACAAAGTTCCTCGGTGTTTCTTGACTTTAACAACTTCCTCTTCTCCTTGATCCTTTGCCTTTTGTTTCCTTCTTTCAAGCTGTTTCTCAATAATCTTTGCATTCATAGCAAACGACTCGGCTATTTCCTTTTCAGTAATTTCATCATTTTCTTCCTCAATTGTCGATACAGTCACGCTGCTGAACTTTCCAAGATTCTTAATCTGCTTCTTGACAAAAACTTTCTTTTGTTGTGGAACAATGTTCTTTGCATCTTGTGCATCATTTTTAGCTCTTAATGATTTTGCAATGATGAATGTCACTGCTGGATTATCAAATGTATAGAAAAGTGGAAGTTTGCACTTTTTGCAGTTGAATCTCTTCTGCATTTCAATTCCTTTCGTTCGCTTGATGTAAATCTTGTCTGGATTATCCAAGTTGCATGTGATTTTGTATGCTATTTTTGTGGAATCAAGCACTCTAGCTCCATCTTCCTTCCTTAACGGCAGTTTCTCTAAAATCGATATATTCTTGTCAGATGTTTTCTCTGGTTCCGATAGAATCAATGAAAGCTGTCCACACAGGCAGAAGAATGTCTTAAGTCGCTCTTCCTCATATTCATGCTTAAAATCATCTCTTTCTTTTGATGAATCAGAACAAACTATACTTTTTGAGATGATTTTCGGCATTCTCGAGTGATTTGTTGTCTTGTATTCTAATGGTTGAGCTGAATAGCTTAGCTTCTGTGTTTATGACGTGATTAAGCCTTGTTAATAGCTGTATGTTTTGATTTAATTAAGGTTTCGCGAGTTTTCCAATTTATTTGTTTTGTTATTGACACTGAGCTACTGATTAGCTTGTTTTTCAATACAATGAGTTTGATTTTGTTCTTGTCTGTTTGACTAGATTTCTCAGATTTCTTATTTTTTGTTTATTAATTCTATTTCGAAGAACTTTTGATGATTTGCTTATGGAATATTGATAATTTATGACTGCTGATTAATTGTATTCGTTTATAACTTTAAAAAGCCTTTAATTTATTGATTCTTGAGAAAACATAGATTCATCATTGATCAGGAACTTAATTAAAAATTTAAAACTTCAAAACCCGTTATGTTTTAAAATATTGATGCTTTTAATAAGACATTAATCACTAGCAATCTTTAGGAGAGTCTGAAACAATTGGTAATAAACAAACCACAACAACAGAAAGTACCGAGAAATTGAGCAAATAAGTAAGAATCCCCCTGAAAGCCGTTAAAGAATTGAACAACTTTCAAAAAAAGTGAGTGATATTTTGAACGCGTTTTGCTATTTCTCTGGAAGCGTTAAAAAATTTCATTTTAATATTTTAGTAACATAACTTTCCCGAATTTAATTATTTACAATAATCTTTCCGACATTTTAAAGTTTCTAAAAGAGTGTAAACATATTAAAAAGTGTGAAGAACTCTTAATTAATAGTGAAATTAAGTTTTTTCAAAAAAATCAACAGTTTGATATTAGCGCGTTTTTATCAAGTCAGAAGATCAGAAAACTTATTTTTTTAAGCGCAAAGCATCATCTTAATAAATTAGTTTAAAAAAGACTTTAATTATAATAATCCTAATATATAATATAGTTAAATCAATTGATAAAATTGTATTTAAAGTGAACGAATAGGTTATTGACACAAATCCAATTGTTTTAGTTGAAAAAGTGATTAAAGTTTGATGGATGAGACAAAGAAAATTATGAAAATGAACGTGTTTAAAGCTTAAAATTCATAAATATAAGCATCAATTCGAGATTATCGGAATCAATTCATTAAATAAACTACAAGATTAATAAAGTTTCGTACAATAAATCGCAAAGAAAAATGGTTCGAGGTAAGTTAAACTACAAAAAATCATCAAAACAAAATGAAGCGCACTAAAGTGATGCTTAAAACTTTTTGTAAATTAATGACGGCCATAATATCCATCGGGAATAGAAGAAGGCAGTCAACGTATTGACATAGAATAGTTTAATCAGTTTTGTATGTAAAAATATGAGCGATTTAGGAAATAATTCAGACCTTGAAGTTGTTTGGGTTTTTATGTCTATGTCTTTTTTTTTAAAGTTCCAGCGACTCTATCGCGTACAAGAATACTTCGCATTTTACACGAAAAAAAAGAAATAGTATATATGAAAATATACATATTCCATGTTATTTTTGATTTTCTTTTATATTCATTCTTCCAAAGCATTTTAAATGCATAAAGTTCGCTTGCACGATTCTATTACAGTAAAAAATAATATAGTGTTTTCTCACTCGCGCTGTCTCTATTTTACATAAAAAATGTTCGAGAAAACCACTTTTTTGATATTAGAACATTTTTTATTTTATTGTGGCAGGTAGAAATGAGATGGAAATAATCAGAATATCTAAAAATATCACCCACATCACATCCGATCAGTTTAAAAAAATAAATAATTGACAATCATTTACACGCATTTCTTATGGCTCTGTGTGTTTATTGTCGCGTATTGATATTATTTATTGGGCCATTTCCTACTGAACAAAAACATATGTAATACACACTGCATATCGCTTCTATTGTCTTTCTTTAGAAAAAAAAAGTCATATGCTCGATTATTTCTGAGTGACGCAATAATCTTGTGTACTGTCGGCATTCTTCATTTTTGAGGATTTAAAACTTAAATGCTTTAGAACAATTCAAATGTTTCTAATTTGAATGATAAACATTAAAAACCATACAATTTCATATAAAATGTTTGAAAACCGCACAAATGTTTTAAAATTCACAATCAGTACCCTTCAAAAACATAACATTGAATTCCGAATTAAGAATCATTACCATGAGTTTCACCTTATTTTTTCGCCTCATGACTCGTCATTTTTGTGTTTCTCAATGATGAAAGTTTCTGCTCATCAATTGTTTTCAAGATAAGACACAATAATTGTGCATCTCATTTCCCTTCCTTTACATTTTCGCATATTACGCAAGAGAGTCTCATGTCTTTAATTTTTTCATTATCATGCCAATACACAAAACAAGTGTCCGCAAACGAGCAAGAAGAAATCTCAATCTTATTTAGCCAAAGCCACATAAAATGCAAACACATAATAATGTGGGATTAGTTTATAATAATCATAAGCACAAATATGTTAATTTTCTTAGCTTCACATGCTGTATGTTGATTCTTGATTCTAAAAATATATTTATCATTTTAGGGCGTAAACCGCGAGTTCAAAAAGCCAGTACCACATCACCATCAAAGAAGCTTCCGACAAATAGTTTGCTCGTCAATGCATTGTTTGAGGCACACGATAGTGCATTTAGTAGTCCGAAACGAAAAGAGTCAAAGATTGATGGCGTACTGATGGAAAATGGCGCTGGCAAGATTGTAAATGGAAAAGTTAAGCCATTTCGTCCAGCAACACGTTCAACAAGAAAGATTAATGAATATTTTGCCAAATTACCAGCAAATGGATTGATTCGCGTTCAAAATGGACATTCATCACCGCATTCACATTCAGATGATAGCTGTGACTCGATACAGCTCGACTCAAGTTGTGAGATTGTTGAACATATAACAGAAAATGTTCCACCAAATAATATCGAGGATCATGCAATACAATTAAAGCAACAGAAATTATCGTCAAATGGACCTATTTTAATGCCCGAAGCTCAATTAGCAAATTCAAATTTATTTTTACAAGAGCCAGTGTTAAAGCTTCAATTTGAAAAAAGCGAAGCAGTCAGTAATGTTACAGCAACTACAGCAACCATAAAGACATCATTCTTATCAACTGAAATCAACACAAAGTTTCAAACTCTGCCACCAACTGAATATATCAATAAAGTACTCAATGTAAATGGATCTCACGATGATAATAACGAAATCGTTTCAGATGAGCATAAACTAGCATTCTTACTTAATTCAGACAGTAATTCCAGTGACTCTGGTGTCGTTATAAATGGTGATTCCGATGGTCCTGATAATTTATTAAAATCACCACTTCATCTGACTGGAAAGCGTCGTAAACCAACAACGCCACATCGAATGATTTTATGTCCATCAACTATCAACGTTGCACCAATTGTTGTTCATCATAATAATCATAATACTACTAATAATAATAATAATAAGCAAGATGCTGAAATTATTCAACCGGCAAGAACAAAAAGTCGCGCAAAGACAAAGTAAGATTCATTGCCTTTTGGGGACGTTCATAAATGACGTCCACAACTTGCTTAGCTTATGCAAGCTATGGCTGTCAGGGGGTAACAAAAACCCTCTTCCCAATATAAGTAGACATCATTTATAAACGTTCCCACACTTGGTTTAATGTATTTTTTTGTGGATGGAATTTTTTTCGCGTAATTTCTTACAAAAATGACAGCTGCAAATGGGTTTAAAGACCTCCTGCACATTGCTATAAGTCATTAATTTTCGAGGTTATTGATCTGCTACTATTTAGTAGCTTACAAATCCATCCATCACTATTTAATACCAAAAATTAATTCAATTGCATTTTGCAGACTTCCATTATCAAGTCAAGATGTTGTTCATCAAGATCACGATTATGACATTAAGAAGCCTCAAGAGGCAAAACCAGTAAAGACTGCACCACCAACAGATAACAATAAGAAAGTCACAGAGTTCTTCACAGTTCGTCGGAGTGTACGAAAGACAAAGAAGGAAGTACAGGCTGAGCGTATGAGGAATATTGAGCAGGCTATTTTTGAAGAGAGGGAGGAAGGATTGGCAGTAAGTAATAAATACTTCTAACTGTCATTCATGTGCTTAACTCTGTTTTGATTCTAGGTTAAAGAATTTCCATGTAAAGGTCGCGGAATCGTCACAACAAGACCATTTCAACGAGGCGAGTTTGTAATTGAATATATTGGCGATCTCATATCCATGGCTGAAGCTAATAGACGTGAGAAAAAGTATGCAGCAGATGATAATACGGGTTGTTATATGTACTATTTCAAACACAATGATCAACAATACTGGTGAGTTTCTTTGTGAAAAGTTGTTAAAATTTGAATTAAAAAACCCCGTTAATTAACTGAATATTTTACATATCAAATCTAGTATTGATGCAACAAGAGAGACTGGAAAGCTAGGCCGTTTAGTAAATCATTCCCGCAATGGAAATCTGATCACAAAGACCGTGATGATTGGAAAGGATCCACATTTAGTTCTAATAGCAAAAGATGATCTCCCTTCTGGAGTCGAGCTAACATATGACTATGGCGATAGATCAAAGGAATCGCTCATACATCACCCATGGCTTGCGTTTTAATGTTTTATTTCAATGAATTGGGAAACAAAGTTTAAAATTCATAGAACAGAAATTTTTTAACGCTTAATTTTTTTTCCATATCTTAATCCTTTTTATTTTTTCGTTTTCTTCATCGTTTTAAGATGCATAGAAATACTATAAAGCTTATTAATTATGTAGATGTTAAAAAATTATATTTTCGGACTTTATTAAATTTAATTCAACAGAGTTTTTGTGATTTTTGAGGGATAAATTGAGAATCATAAGTGCATATCAATTTAGAAAATGTGCCAAAAGTCAATTCAGCAATGATAATTATTAATCGAATCCAAAAATGCCCAGTTAAAGATATTTAAGCAAGCAGCTAATTAAAATTCCCGGAACTGAATTTGATGATTTTTTTTTGAATTAATCAATTGAAGCTATAGAATACTAATTATCTGCATGCTCAAATCGAGTTATTGTAAATTCAATTTTATGAAATAGTTAAAAGTGTCTGAATTTGTTCCTCATTAAATTCACAAAAAGTTCTGTCCCTTAAAAATCTAATGTTATGAGAATTGTTTCACACCAAAGGTTGACAAAACGAAAAAACTATTTTTGACAATGCTGGCTAATTGGAATTATGATTGTCATCACTTAGACTGATGATCGATGATACATCCTATTCCAAAACTATTAGTTTTATGATTCATAAATTTTATTATGATTTTTGGATTTCGTTTTTAAAATTTTTGTATTTTTTGAAAATTGCCATAAAAATTGAAAAGTTAAAAAATTTGGAGTAAATAAGAAAATAAAAGTAGAAAAGTGACGATGAAAATGCCTTAAATATGGATTAAAGACATAAAATACAAGAATGTATTTTGAATATTCAATTATGCTTAATATAACTAAACAAAATGAGAGAAACGAGTAAGGATGAATTCAGGAAATGTATCTGATTCTTTTCTAAATAGATTTACATGAAGTAATAAGTCAACGGAACAATACGAGAATACAAAAGGATGAGCTTTTCATTCTTTCCTTGACACATAGAGTTCCTCAAATTTCATTTTGTTAAAAGGAATTTTTTGTGCTTTAATTCATAGAAAAATAGAAAAACATTTTTTTTGCACCCACCACTAATTTATTTCCACACCAGAACCCCCCTCTTGTGCTTCATTACCAATAACATTTAAATACCTACACAAACATGTGCATAATGTTTTTTTATGCTGTAAAGATAAGGATACAAATAAACCAATAGCCGAAATTGATTGAGTTTGGCTCGAGTGATGTCGATTGTGGATTATAATGAAGCTTTTTTTGGGATAATTATGTGAAAAGTGTGATTTTTGAATATGTAACGGGCTTTCAAAATTTGAATTTTTAACGATTTTTCAAATTTTGAATATATTGAAACATTTGTATGGTTTTCAAACACAAAAGAACTTATTTATAACATTTGTATTTTTCCAAGTCATTTGTATGGATTTAGAACATTTAAATGGCTGTATGTTTTACTGTTGTAATGTTTTAAAGCTTTTGAATGGTTACAATTTGTTTGATTTCTGATTTATGACTATATCTTTAATTCAAGGTTCCATGACTCAGAATAAATTCTAAAATAAATGCACTGTTTCCATTGAGTCCCAAATATGCTTCAAAATAATTAATCCACCTTCCGTTATTCGACCATATCCAATAAACTTTAGCGCACCCTCAAGAAACTAATAATTATAGTTATCATAATGTAGTTGATAAATTTACAATAATAATAATAGTAATAAAAAGGAAAGAGCATCAACACATAAACACACAATCGCGTTAACTTAAATACATTATAATTTATGTTCTATAATCTATTATTAGTTCTAAAAACAAAATAAGGTGATTAAGTTTCATTTAGAAAACGGAAAATGCAATCATTTAATATCAAATTTTAACTGCCTAACTTATACAGTACCTTTCAAAACTGTTTCCATGTTTGAAGAAAAATTTTCTTTTCAACATATTTATTATAAACTATTACATTTTCCCATCATGTTATATATCGTTTCAAAGCTTGTTTAATAAGCTATTTAAAAATGATAAGCAACTTTGGAAAATATTTAATTAAAGTAGATTTTTTGCTTAAAATATACACTGTCACATGGAAACACTTTTGACCTTATAATTGTTTTTTCAAAATTTGAAGCAAAGCAGAACTAATTGGTTAAAGTTTGTTTATTATAGTAAAAAGCAATTAAAATATAAGATAATAGCACATGAATTAAGTTGCTAGACATAGTTAAAATATTTCAATAAGAATGTTAAATCGCATGATAAATTTTCATATAATTTTGCAAAAAATTACTGAATTAAAGCCAAATGTTGTAATTTTTGCATCTAAACAAATGTATTTTAGCTTATTAAAGCTGAAAAATAGTTTTTAATTGTAAATTAAGGCATTTGAAAGCAGAAAAATTGATATCATTTCATGGAAACACTTAATTTTTCTTACTTGCAAACACAAACATTCAAAATTTTTTATTATTTCCTCCACTTCAAGTAACTTTAATCGCTTTTTCTGATAGATTTTATGACAAAGATAACCATATATGATTTATGTAGTCATTGTGAGAGTAGAAGGATTTTTTTGCAATTTTGTTGGTCAATGACAGCCATATTCAAAAAATTTTATAAGCATTTATAAAAAATTCAATTTTACGTAAATATCGAATTTAGACAATTCAAATTGATTAAAATAACTTAAAAATCCAATTCATAATAATAAATGTTTTTTTTTTTAAATGATCTTAATTGCTTTTTACTATAATAAACAAACTTTAACCAATTAGTTCTGCTTTGCTTCAAATTTTGAAAAAACAATTATTAGATCAAAAGTGTTTCCATGTAACAGTGTGTATTTTAAGCAAAAAATCTACTTTAATTAAATATTTTCCAAAGTTGCTTATCATTTTTAAATAGCTTATTAAACAAGCTTTCAAACGATATATAACATGATGGGAAAATGTAATAGTTTATAATAACTATGTTGAAAAGAAAATTTTTCTTCAAACATGGAAACAGTTTTGAACGGTACTGTAGATAAAGAATTGATGTTTAATTAATTTAATTACATTTAAATTACACATTATATGACAGATTTTAAACATCAATTATCTGCCTAAATTATGACTATTATCGATAAAGGAAACGGAGATTGCAGATCAATTATAGTTTAGTTATCTATTTTAACATAATCTAATTAAAATATAATTCAGCTTTAGATTTATTTTGTCTCTTAACATGTAAGCAGCAACAACAATTAATTAACTGAGAGATAAATGATTAGATATGTTATTTTTGACTTGAATAAATGTACGAATTTGAAAAATTTAATTTTGTAACGGTTCTTTAATATTTGGAATATAGATTTTCCCCTTGACAATAGTGCTGTGGGTAAAAGTCAGGTAAGACTTTCATTTTGGATTAAGCTTCACTTAAGCAAGATGTGGCAGTTATTGCTGAACTGTCTACTTTATTAAAATAAACAATTCCCAATTCTTTACAGTTTATTCATTAATTAACAACTAGATTAAGAGTTTTGCAAATATTACTCACATTTTAGAACAGCACACGTGAAGATTCGAATCTCAAAACACAGAATTGTCAATTAATATTTGGCACGGCTTGAATAGCATAATCCACACAACTTTTATCAAATCTTTACAAAAAATTGATCAAAGATTGCTCGATTAATTCTTCCTACTTTTTAATCCATTTTAAATTGATCACAAAGAAAGTTGTGCATTGACAGCAATATGCAGATCCAAAATTGATAAATGTCAACAGCATGAGAATCCAATCAACTTTCAAATTGAGTGTGAAGAAGTGAATGACAAAATAAATGATGAAGACTAGTATCAACAATCATTTATGCCTTATGCAGACGTACCGAAGAGACTAGTTTGAGCGAAAAAAAGAAGCTTTAATGACAATGAGAAAAAAAATGAAGCGTAGACTGCACAGTGATTTATGGATCATCGCATCAATGGAAGCGTTGAAAAATGATTGCATTAAAGATATGCTTTATCCTATTATAGACTTTATATTGTGCAGCCATGATACCACTTCCATACTTACATGTCAGTTTATATTGGATGTAAAAAATTGACTGCAATTGAGATGCATTTATGTCGGAAATTTGAACTGGAAGCAGGGGCGTAGCCAGGGGGGGGGGCATAGGGGGACCGCCCCCCCCCCCTACGAAAATCTGATAATTGTTTTATTAAGTATTTATAGAGAAGAACCAGTTAATGTAGAGGAAGTGATGAAAGAAATGTCAAAATCAGCACGAAAAATTAAATTTAATGTATGAATAATGAATTAAATATTTAAACTTATGAAGAATGAATATAGATTTAAGGATACAAAATAACAATTTTTTTAATTTTCGAAAATGGGCCCCCCCTTAAAAATTTTCTGGCTACGCCCCTGACTGGAAGTTTAATGAAAAATGGACGAGTATTTTTGTGACTGCATAGATATTATGATTATTATTGTACAATTGCTGGTCATTTTATTTGTAAGCCTGATTCAGCTTCACCGTCCAATATTTTCAACAGCAACAAAGGATTGTAATTGGGAAAAAAGGGTTTAAAAATTGTATGTGCCATTTAAATTGCCTACATTATTATTATTATTACCTTCGCTCGAAAAAAAAGCCATGCCGGAATTAACAATAAAGTTGTAGCTTTTATGGAGCAATGTAATTGTGAATTTATTGCAATAATAACCCACTTACCCACATCCAGAAGCATACAATTATAAATGTTATTGAGACAATACAAAAGGAAGCATCAAATAATATGAAGGATATTTGCTAAGCTTATCTGATAACAAATAAATGACTTTTTTTTAAATTACTCTATTGTTCTGTATAGGAATCTTATAAATTTTATTAGTTGATGGTAAGATTCTGTCGAGATGATAAGGAAAAAGTATGACAATGCCAAGACAATTTCTGTCTCGAGTTCCAATTTTAAAAGTTAAAGAGGATATGGATGTAATCAGCTGGAAATGAAAAATAGTTGGAGCTTAATTTGTTGCTAGGAATGGGTGATTATTTTGTTAGGAATAAGTTTACTTCAATGCTATTGGAAACTCTTAGCTGAGTTCAAAAATGACGACAAATGACGGTTCTTGTTTTTTTGCTTTTGGCAATAAAATCTGTGTTTGTGAAACGCGACCAACACATTGTGGCTAAGTACATTGTATTGATAAACTCCATTCTAAAATTTAGTACATAGGAGGGTTAGGGCTGGTTCCTGATTTATATAGCAGATCATACCAGCTTCCTATCCTCTCATTTTGATATTAATAGTTCGATACATATTAAGTACAGTAACCTACTATAAGATCCGGACGTTTAAACAAACAACAATGAGGCACAATGTAAACGCTATCAATCTACTCCATCCTACAAAGCAATGAACAACGTGATGACAATGCCATT